AACAAGGAGATCTGCTGTCCCAGACTTAATCCAGATTAATGGGGAAGAAACTGTGCATAAAGTGGATGTGGAAAGAACCTTGAGGAAGTGACCATGTTTCTTGGAATCTGGGAGAGAGAGGGCTGTGCAAAGCCAGTGTATACCTTGGACTTAAGAAAAGCTGACTTCAGAATGCCCAAGAAGATCAATGGAGAGGCAAATCTCCTGCTTAGGGAATATGGCAAATGGTTAACTGTTGTTGGAAAGATGCGGGGACTACTTGGCTTCTACTCTGCTTCAGTCTTTTCCCACAAGGAGAGTTGTGTTCAACCTGAGACAAGTAGAATTCAGGTTGCATAGATGGATTTGCAGCCAGGAATAATTAAGGCCATGTTTAGAGAGCACTCAGCTGTTCATTTATTTAAATAAAGTAAGTAAGATATAAATGAATATTTAAATTTATTCAAATACATTTATTTAAGTAAATGAATAGTAATAATGTCTCTGCTCTCAAGGGCCAAATGAATTATAGCTGTAGGTGTTGCAGAAGTTTGCAGATGTTATTTCAGACCCGCTGCCCATAAACACGGAACGTTCCAGGAGCTGTCAGAAGATTGGAGACAGGCAAACCTTGTCCCAAGAAGGGGAAAAAGGTAGAACCAGGAAGCAACATAGTCAGGCTGACTTTAATACTGGGCAAAATTCTCCCATGGATGATCTAACTGTCAGTCTGTGAGATTCAAGGCAAGAATGCATGGATTGCTAACAATCAAAATGGATGTGTCAGAAATAAGTCACATCAGGGCGAGTTTTTTAAAATAGTCATCTGTTCAGTAGATCAGGGGAATGTTGTGAATATAGTATATCTTGATCTCAGCAAAACAGTTACAATTTTCCATGATAGACTTGTAAAAACCACTGCCATTGGGTCAATCCACAGTTTGTTGAGCAACCCTACTCCGTGAGTGCTAATCAATGCTAATTCATGAGTGGCACCCTCATAGAGGGAAGTCTTGAATGGAGTGCCCTAAGTCCCTGTTCCAGTGCCACTCAACAGTTTTATAAATTAGTTCACTGAGGAGGCAGAGGAGCTGCTCATCAAATTTACAGGTGGCAAGAATCCAGGAGGGATCAGGGGTCCTATTCTGAACTGATCCTGGGTTCCTGGCTGAGCACATTCAGAGATGTATACAAGAGAGTGGTTGATTTAGCAGGCCAGTGGCTGAACAGAGTTTGACCATGTGCACTGGGTCAAAGCCACAACCAGGGCCGAAAGCCAGGGAAGCAGGCCAGTAGCAGAGCAGTCTAAAAGCAGAACAGATGGAATTCCAGTGGCCAGTTGTGGCCCAAGCCTACAGCAAACAAGTCAGGGAGGAAATAGGATACAGCAGCTAGAACAGAGGTGCAGGAATGGTCTCAGACGTCTTCCAGGACTTCACTGCATCATGGTTGAAGCTTGTCAGCTGATACTTCCATTGCATTTGCATCTCTTCTTTTCTTATTGTGAGGGACCTAGCAAGGTTCGGAGCAGTTCAGTGCAGGGTCACAAGGATGGTAGCCAGATTGGGGGGGGGGTGCCATATGAGATGAGATGGAGGGAGCCGGGTCTTTCCAGCCTGGAGAAGAGGAGACTCTGAGGGGATCTTGTAGCAACTTGCAGGTATGTGAAGGGGTGTCGCAAGATAGAGGGTTGCGACCTGTTCTCCCCTCTGGTGGAGGGAAGGATACGATCCAAGGAGACAAAGCTAAAGGAACTGGGCTTTAGGTTGGATCTCAGGAAGTATTGCCCAGTCGTTAGAACCGCTAGGATATAGAATTGGTTCCCATGGGAGGTGGTGGAGGCCCCACCAGTGAGGTCATTCAAGGGAAGATTGGACACCCACGTGTTGGACATTCTATGAGTGGAGTTGGTCGGAGCTAGGGGTCAGACTAGATGACTCAGGAGGCCTCTTCTGACTTATTGATTTATTTATTTAAAACATGTCTATGCCCCCCCATCGCAACAAAGCCTCGGGGCAGCTCACAGCAGACATAAACATACAATCAATAATTTAAAAACAGGTACCATCTCAGCTATATATTAAAATCTATAAATACAATAATAATAAATTCACAGTTAAAATAACTTTTAAATAAAAAGGTCTTCGCCTGGCACCGAAAAGCAAATAATGACGGTGCCAGGTGGACCTCTCTGGAGAGCGCATTCCATAGGTGGGGAACTTGCTATGTTTCTATGGCTGGTCTCCACTTCATGTTATCCTCACCACAACAACCCTGTGAGGTAGGTTAGACTGACAGTGTTTGACTGACTGTGGGTGCAGGAGATCTCTGATGACTACACCCCGAAACATTACCTTCCATGCCATCCTGGCTCTTCTCCTTATGGTGAAAACCTGACTCACAAGTAACCCTTTGCAGTAAGCAAGCACTCCTTTGCCTGGCCACAATCCTCTCATAGATCTTAAGGTGCCAGTGTTCTCAAGGGCTAGGTGGTAACCCTCGTATCTCCTTCTTGCTCAGAGGCTAAGTTATCTGCCCCTCTGGGCAACATCTCCAAAGGCATAAGGCAGATCCCTGAGGAGTCTGGATGCTTTTGAGCAGGACTAGGGCCTTCTGAGAGGGCCAGCTGACTCTGATGTTTCTGGCCGCCCTCTGAGGAGCCCATGTGTCTTAGTGTATCGGAAGCAGAATATGAGATAGCCATGTGATGCTGCATCTGAGAAAGTGAATCAGCAGAAAGATCATTGGGTAGACAAATGAGAAAGGGTCCAGGGGAGGGTAACAAAATTGATCCAGGGTTTGGAAACCCTGCCCTATGAGGAGAGACTGAGAGAACTGGGCATGTTCAGCCTTGAGAAGACTAAGAGGGGACATGAGACCCCTCTAGAAGGACCTCAAAGGCTGTCACAAAGAGGAAGGTCAAGATCGCTTCTTGCTGATGCCGGAGTGCAGGACACGGAATAATCAGGTCAAGCTGTGTCAACCCAAATTCAGGCTGGACATCAGGAAAGCTTCCTCAGTGTCAGAGCAATGTGACGGTGGAACCAGCTGCCTAGAGAAGTGGTGGAATCTCCCACACTAGGGATATTCAAAAGGAAACTGGACAGCCATCTGAGTGGGGTGGGGGTGACCTGGTGTCCTGCACCAGCAAGAGGTCAGACCCAGTGGCCTTCTTGGCCCCTTCCAATCCATGAATCTATGTATCTAGAGAACAGGGAGAAAAAGTTCCTCTTAGTCAAGACACATTCAGAGTATTGCATCCAGTTCTGGGAGTCCAGTTTTGAGATGGACACTGGCAGATTGGAATGCATCTGCCTTTGAGGGGGGTGAGGTGTCCGGAAGCCAAGTCCTGCTGGAGATGGTTGAAAGGAACGAATGTGCTGAGCTAGGAGAAGAGGCGTTTACAGGGTGATGTGATAGGTGTCTTCCAGCACATTATGGATGAACATGTAGAACCAGGAGAGCCGGAGCAAATGGAACAAACCAATGGAGGTAGAAGGCAGGGGAGCAGAAGCTGGCTTAAGGCTGGGAGAAACCTCCTGACCACGAGGGGTGTTCAGCTGTGGAACAGGTCCTGCCTTGGGAGGTGGGCTCTCCTTCAGCAGGGGAATGTAAGAATAGACTTGCATGGATCGCCCACCTGTCAGAGATGCTGAAGCTCGAACGGAAGTGTGAAGACTGCCTTGGGCAGGTGCTTGACTTCCAAGGTCTTCCATCTCCATGATTCTATTATTGTAATGTGGTGTGTTCACTTTGATATGTATACACCCAAGCCATCGGAAGAGAAAACTGCAACTTTTGGCCAGAAAAGAGCTATGGGCATTCCAGGAAAACCTTAACAAACAAGTCCGCTTATTAAAAAGGAGTGGAAGCCATGCCAAGTTACTGGCATCTTTCAGCAGGAGATTCTCAGGTTTGCCATGTTCAGCAAAATTCTGATGGGATGACACATCTGAGCCTGAGATCCGATAGGCCATGAGAGAACAGGCTGTTTGTGTAACCAATAGGGTCAGCCTCATCTATAACATTTTGTTGTGGCTTAGAGGCTTCCAGATGCCACATTGCCGTGTGCAGCCAACTTTCAGCACAGCTGCAGTGTGCATCTATTTGAGACTTGCTCCTTTGGACTGTTGCCCAAGTGAACATTTAGCTGGCAGTTACCGCATCGCTAAGAAGCACATCTAAATCCATCTTCAGTCTCTGCTCCAAACTCTTCTGCTGCCATTGTCTTTGGTTTTTTGAAGAACCCAGGGGATGCATGACCACCTAGTAGACACCTTCCAACACATTAACGTGTGTGTGTGTGTGTGTGTGTGTGTGTGTGTGTGTGTGTGCAGCATGCCGAAAGGATTATGAAGGGTTTTGTTCATTCCACCTAATCTCACATTTTCAAACTCATACATGAATTGAAACTTGGCCATTCTTAAAAGATGGCCTTTCATTTGAAATGCATGCATGAAAATAAGATCAGATTAGGAAGACTGCTTCCCCAAAACTGTGTGTATTAGGCAACATTGTGTAACAAAATGCATGTGTTGGGAGAAATGGACACAAACATACCTAATAATTTCATGCAATTTTTTAAAAATCGCAAAGTTGGAAAAGTGAGGAATAGAAATATAGAATAGAAATAATGTAGCTTCCATATAGCCTGAAGTGCCTGATCCTGCCTCATCTTGGAAGCTAAGCAGGGTCAGGCCTGGGCAGAAGTGGGATGGGTGACTTGAGTGTATGAGTCTATTGCTGTCAACTGCCTAGAGAGCTTTGGCTATGGGCAGTATAAAATGTAATAATAATAATAATAATAACAAATAACAGAAATTGACAGGTTTGTTGATGCCTAGTAGTGTAAGCTGGTGTGTCTCTGAGCACCACTGCATTGTTTTGATTCTGGGTTTGCCTTCTTCATTTTTCCCCTTTTTTCCTGTTCATTTGAATACCTTCTTGTGTCATGCATGTTGAAAACTCAAAGCATACATATATACCTAGCTAATGCAGGTGTGCATCATTCCTCCAACTAGCTTCATGGTGGAAAGAAACGAGAAACATGGCATATCCCATCGGTAGGTATCATTTTCCTCCGCTCCGAGCTAAGGGGAAAGCGACAGAGGCTTAGGGCAACTGCGGATTCCCCATTTATAGATCACACCCCCTTTTCAATGTCCAGGAGACGTTTGAATTATGAAAAAATAGTGCATTTGCATGTGGGTGTCTATCTCACATTAATTTGAACTTTGCTCGTAATTGGGGATGAATTAAGAACCGTGAGGAAGAGCACCTACAGGAAAGAAAGGCTCTCAAACCTGCCCTTGCTGTTTCCTTTGCAACCATTATCACCGCGGAAGAGACAAGCCACGGTTCACGTTTAAAAGAGGCTTGTCTCTTCAGCAGTAGGAACCACTGTGGCGGAAAGAGCAAGGCGAATGGGCACATTTAGGATTAACATAGGAAGCTGTCATATACCGAGTCGGATAATTTGTCAGCGTAGCCCAATGTTGTTTTCTGTGATTGGCTTTCCAGGGTACCAGATACCTAAAACTGGAGATTTCAGGAATGGATCTGGCAACATTGTGCATGTAAAAAACCGCCCTTCTAGATGTCAAGATGATTCTCAGATCTGAGATGGCACCAAACTGGGTGGGACGGCCAATAACCTGGGAGGCAGGAATTAGATTCAAGGTGATCTTGATAGGTTGGAGCGCTGGGCTGAAAGCAACAGGATGACATTTTGTAGGGACAAAGGCCAAGTTCTGCAGCGAGGAAAAGGAACCCAAATGCATCGCTGCAAGGCGGGGAACACGTGGCTCAACAAGGCTGCGTGTGAGAAGGATGTTGGAATTGTTGTAGATCGCAGGCTGCATGGGAACCCACAGTGTGATGTGGCTGCAGAAAGGGCACTGGCTGTTTTAGGCTGCATTAGTAGACAGGGCACTTCCGAATCCTGTGAAGCGCTAGTTCCCCTTTGCTCAGCACTGGTTAGGCCTCACCTGGAGTCCTGTGTCCGGTTCTGGGCACCACAGCTGGAGAAGGATGCAGACAAGCTGGGAAGGGTTCAGAGGAGGGCAATAAAGATGATCCAGGGACTGGGAAGAAGCCCCGTGAGGAGAGACTGAGAGAACCAGGCATGTTTAGCCTGGAGAAGAGAAGGTTGAGGGAGACAGGAGAGCACTCGACACGTACCTGGAAGGCTGTCACAAAGAGGAAGGCCAGAATCTCTTCTCACTCATCCCAGGACACAGGGCATGGAACTCTGGGCTCAGACTACAGGAAGCCAGGTTCCTGACTGTTAGAGCAGTATGACAATCCAACCTAGGGAGGTGGTGGGCTCTCCACACTGGAGGCATTCAAGATGCAACTGGACAGCCATCTGAGAGGGATGGTTGAGCTTGGTGAGCAGGGGGCTGGACCTGGTGGCCCTCCAACCCCTTCCAGCCCTACTCTACTTTGAGTCTGTGTCCATATGCTCAACGACTCAAAGCAGCTTATCCTGTGGAATCGGACTGAGCTCAGCTCTCATGGTTGGCTATTTGCATTTGTTTGCTAACCTCGCCACATCCATATTTTTGATCATCCGAATTGAGCAATGGCAAGGGGTTTTGCATTAGCCGTATCTTGCTTATCCAGCAGCCAATCCACTCACGGGGCCTTTCCAGGTGCTAGGACTGCAGAAGCTGGATGGAAACCAGATGACTTGCACTCAAATATGCTGAGCAAGGCTGGCCAGCCGCTTCTGGATCTTGAAAAGCCAGTGCGTTCTGCCGTGGTTGCAAATGGGTTCCGATTCCTCAAAATCCAACTATTTTGGATCTGATTCCTAAAATCAGATTTCATTCTTGTGTTGTTATTTGCCAGGGATTAAAGACCAGTGCTGATGTTCCATATTGACAAATCTATAGATTCAAGGAAGAAGTGATAAAAGATGATTGTAAGAACCTGGGGGAGCTCAGCCCGCTGCTGACATTTGCTTGGGGAAAATCTGTTGAAAGTTCATTCCCACATGCCGATTTAGTGTTATATAAAGTCGGCATTTCCTAATGTTTTGTCTAGTGTACCACTTCCTCCCTTGCCCTTGCGCTTTGTTTTCATGGAAAGTGCTATAGACCAATTGTTCAAACTTTTTGGGTCACCATGTTACGCATTGCTCAAAAGCAAAGCAAGGCAAGGCAGATTCTTAAGATGCCAGGAACTGATGCCAGCATTAATCTTAAGGACTTGATAAACGAACATGGAACAGAATCATGGCTTTTAGAGCATCTCTCACAAATTGTGATAGTTTATCTTCTCTCCAGGATGCAATGGGGGTTTTGCAGAAATGAGGTGGAACCTTCGAAGGCTCTGGGCTGCACTCCTATATCCACTGACTGAGAATCAGTGCTAATTAACTCAATGAGCTTTGTAGGCCTATATAAGGTAGCACCATTAGTGGAGTCAGTTGAGATGGCGCCTCATCCGCCAGGGCTCAGCAAATGATTCTAAAGAGCTGTCCATTAACAGGACTGCCCCCCTAATATTTCCCATAAATATTCCTGAGACGTTTAAGGGCATAACTGCATACAGCTTCCAGGGACGTATACGGTAAAGAATGTTATCTAATCCTAGATCCTGAGGCTTTTGCAAAGGACGGCATATAAATATCCTAAATAAATAAATACATAAAATGTGAGATGCTATTGTACTACATGACTTAGAATTATTCTTAATAATAATTTATTTTTCTCAAAACGGGGAAAAAAAACCTCAAGGAAACTTACAGCAAAATTAAAACAGACAAAATAGCATAGTGCTAGAAACCCTAAAATACCATCACTCCAGAAACCGCTAAAACATCAGTGGTTTTAAACGCCATGGACCATTTGACCGATCTGTTAAGGAGCCCTTCCTGTGCCACAGAGGGTCTGATCCTAGAAGACGTAACTTGGGGGTGAAAGGAGGACAGTGTTGGTTCCAGGCTGGCCTTGCTGGGGAGGCCGTGCCACAGTTCAGGGCCCACCACCAAAAGTGTCCTGACTCTCTTGTCGTCATCCTACAACTGACTTGATAACACTTGATATCTCAGTGTCTCACCTTAAGCTTTGCAAACAGTCATGGTAGAACGGGGGGGGGGGGGCATTTTGAGTAGGATCTTGATACTAGGGGAGGGGGCTTGAAGACTTGCACCCTTCCCCGTTTCCCTGATGAATAGCACCCCTTTTCCTTAAGCTACTTTCAGACACAGAGGTCAAAAAAGACATCTAAAGTACAAGTTCTTGTCTCTCGCCACATCTCATCCTGGCTGGCCAATCCATAACCTGTACAGATGAACCTGTAGAGAATTTCCTTAAGGAAAAGCAAGAGAGAAGGTCATAGTCTCTTCCCATCACTTCTGTGGGGCACTTTCAGGCCATCTATGATTTCTTCTGAGGAATCCTTGTAATTCTGCTGTCTTCCTTCTACCTAATGAGTAACTATCATTAATTTGGCCTAGGTATTAACTCTGCACGCCAAAAGGACAAACCCTTTTGCTTCACAGCAAAGAGAGAGTCCATTGGATCTGTGCCATTTGCATTGTCTGTAGCTGCCATTGTTGAAAAGCTCAGTCCAAAAAAAGAGCTTTGCCCCTTCAATGCTGTGGGAAAAGCAGCATGCGAACTTGTAGCTGCCCAAGCGTTCAACGGCCAGGTTGGACCCATCAGAATATATAAGCTTGCTCTGTCCACTTTCCATAACAGAATGTGACCTACAATGTTTTAAAATATATATTAAAATGAGCAATTATTTGCATGCAGCTTTTCCTAACTGATCCATTTTCACGTGCAACTTTCCCTAATCTATGCGTACTGGGTTGACATAAATAGCTCATTCAGTTCGACTGATTTCAAAGGATCTGCTGAACCTTAATGTTGATCTGAGCACTGCTATGCAACATTGTCTGATGTGCATGTTTTTGTTCACGACATCTGAGTCAAGAACTGCATTGCAAAATTTGAGTCGCTGTGTGTTGTCTGAAGGATGACACCTTCCAGTGTCCAAGAAGTGCAAATTAGTTTTGCTTGCTTTAAAATGCAGACCAAACAAAACCATTCCCCATGCTTATTGTCCGCCAAGTCTGCCTATCTCTTTTCTGGATCCTGATTACATTTTCCCAATACTGCTCTTTTTTCCAGTGCAAGTTTTGTTAGGGTTTTGTTTTGTTTTTGCAAATCATGCCAAGATTTCACAACACAACACACCAAAATACAAGAGTGCCCTCAAGCAAAAGCTCTCTTGGATTTTAAGTGTCAGTCTCTTATTATTCTCAGGTTCTCTGTAGATTCTCATTTGAATCTTTTATGTGAATCTTCTAAAACTAAGCACACTGCCTATCTTCCGATCCTCCTTCAAGTATATTTTGGTTCATAGACCCAACCCTTCTTCTAGCTTGGTACTTAACCCATCGGAAGCATGAACATCATCCAGGACCTTTCTCTGTTGCTGTCAGTTTTGCTTCATCTGCTTGCAACTTTCTGCTAGTTTTGTGGCTCAGTAGCGGAATAAGCATGTTTCGTGCTTCGTTTCACATCACTTCAGCATCTGAGCTCCCAGCTTGTCTTGCAATGTGTTTTTTTACCATCATGACCAATAAAAATGTGTTTAAAGTTGACGTGATAAGCTGAACATGAAGTAGAAAGAACCTTTTGGTTTATTTTGGTTGAATTTTGTTCATTTTCGTTTGTTTGTTGCCAATCTTGTCATATTCAGCAGCTGCGTTCAGAAATGCTACTGTAAATCCAACAGGGCTAACCAGCACTCTTGCAGGATGTCAGAACTGTCCACCATAACCCTGTAAGTGGATGCAAACCTGTGGCGACCTTGGTGTTCGACGCATGTGGCTCATTCGTGGTCCGTTGTCGCAGCTGCAGCTCAGGGCAGCATCTGTGTTCTGTGTGCTGTGCATGTTCGCTTCTCTGTTTTGTTTTTCTCGTGTGCTTTGTGCTGGTAGCACCACTGCGATGGAGCTGAATGTTCTGGGTCGGATCCAGAGTCCTGGTGGATTCACTCCGGGGGTGGAAATGCACTTCCCCTCTCTCTTTCCCACCCTCCAGCTTGCGACACGGAGAGCCAGGGGAAGCGGAGCTGGGGGATCCCTCCAAACGGGGCAGGAATGCCTTCCCCGAGCGGATCCTCCTCTCAGCAATGCGGATCGTGGATCCAGCCCCTTGTAGTGGTGCGGACTGGTTTGGTTCATTGGGGTTGCAAGCCGCGGGCCGACTCCAAGGACCGCTGACCAAACCGTGCCTTTCCACTTGCCAAAGCCTGGCTCAGCACCGGCCTGCCAGGGTCCCTTAATTCCTGGTGTTCTGAACAGAACTCCAACGAAGAAGCAAGCCACGAAGCCTCAGTGCCTCTGAACTTCCTCTGGCTCTGGAGGAGAATTCCTAGCTTTCTTCCCTCCGGATCCTCACAACCACCCCCCCGCAAACACTGCCTGCCCTTCCCTGTAAGTGAGGACCACCGGGGTGTCAGAGTGGGAAGAAGGAAAGACTTCAGATCATCCTGATGTCATCCTGAACAGCGCATGGGGGGCAGCGTGGCCAGGTACACCTCACGCCCCAAAGAGAAGCGCACCGAGTCATGCACAAATCAGTATCCACGCTGCATGCGCTCACAAGGGCCACGAGTAGGTGCAGCTTCAGAAACATCGATAGAAGCACCAGACATCTCGCCCCAGCAGGGAAAGCTGTGGCTGGCTGCTCCCCACATACCTTCTTCATTGGCTCCCCAGGCAATCCCAACGAGTGTGGACAAATCTCAGGTCCTGGCCACTCCCCGCAGATCGCCTGCTCTTTAAACCAGACTTTGGCTGGACCATCTTCCACATGGAGGATGCCTCCAAAGAGAGGTCTGCTGAGGAGCCAATGGAGGCGTATCCTTGGGCTGGGGTGGGAGAGGAAAGGGGCACGTGGCAATCCCTCGTGGAGCTGAAAGAGCCGTGGCTTTGAGGGCTTCAAGCTGCCCCTGGAAAACTGCATATCCCAGGAGCCACAGATCATTCAGCTCCAATGAGTTGCTGAACAAGCCAGGGCGACCCAGCAGAAGGAGAGGCGGCGGCTGCCACTGAACATTATTAGAAGTGCAGGTGGGGGGCTGCTGGCAGGGAGCACCTTTTCTGAAACTCAGACTGGCTCCAGAAATGCACTGATCGGTTTCCGATTTGTGGCTCCATCCAGGAAGAGTCTGGGAAGTTTCTTCCCTCTTGATTTATGATGCCTTTCGTATAAGCACTTGGCCCTCCGGTGGCTGCTTCCTTTGGTGGCCGGTTTCCATCCAAGTGCTGAGCTATAGGGTCAAATTCCTTCTTCCCACTTGGCAAAAGAGTGGAGTTCAGGCCAAATGACTCCAGCCCTCTGCATGAAGTTACATAGAAACATAGAAAACGGAGCGAGTCAGAAGGGGTCTCCTGGGCCATCTAGTCTGACCCCCGGCTCCAGCCAGCTCTGCTCACGACATGCCCACCATGTGCACATCCAGCCTATCCTTGAACACCCTCACCAATGGGCCTCAACCACCTCCCGTGGAAGCCCATTCCACACCCTTGGGGTCCTGACTGTGCTTGGTTCTACACTTAAGGCTGCCCTATGTTCGCTCAGGCACCTTTCTCCCAGAATTTTGGAGTACTGGATTATCTGGCCTTATTTTTTAATCTTTTAAAATCTTTCTGAGGTTGGCTGCTGTTTCCTCTTTTAAGTAAGGTGTGCTTTTGAGTTTTATTGTCTCTCAGTTTGAGCTTCCTTTCTACTCATCACATTTCTTTTTCTTGATTAACTGCCTTGCACTAAAAATGCTTCCAGTAAATAAATTTTGGGATTATTGAAACCTTCTGCTCCTTCATTTTACCCATGCCTCCTTCCATTTTCCCCTTGTGACGTGCTCATTCACAGCTCCTACAGGGAGCAATCTTGAAATGACTGCATGCCTTTCTTTTTGTGGGGTGTCTAATTGCGTGTGTCTCTGTGCAGAGCGATAGCACACCACAAAAAGGTGAGCCCAAACTCCTTTCTGTGCGTCAGTTTTTTCAGGTGCGTGGTTGTGCCTTGGGAAACACAAAAAGAATGGTGATGCAGTCATTCCTGGGAGCATGAACTGTGCATATGAAGTCAATTGTGAGATAGGATCTGTGGAATTTTATCCATGCATGATTGTGCGATAGTAATGCAGCGCATCGATGAATTCAAATGCATTGAACGCTATGAGGAACTGCATAAGCTCTGATTCTAAGATTAACTTTGAAACTTCACTCAGGGCACAAGCCTATGCATGCTTAGAAACCTAGCCGCATCTTAAACAGCCATTCCCAGCGGGCTATGCTACCTGGGGAACGAATAAACGTTTTCCCATCTAAACATGCGTAGGATTGCAGCCTTAACCTGCAATCCCACGCAAACCTTCCTGAGGGTAAGTCCCATTGAGCCTAATGAGGCTTACTTCTGAATCAACCTGGAAAGATTTAGACTGTCCATAAAATTATGGATTCGGGGGGCAATCCAACACCATGAGCCATTGCTTTATGTTAGCCTCTGAATGGGAGTGGGGCAGCCAGTGTGGGTTTTTTTGCAAAGGCTGTCAGGGAGTGGGCAGGGCAGGGCCTTGTCCTTTGGACTCCCAGCTCTGAGATCTAAGAACCTGGAAGTTCAGACCCCAAATAATTCCAGTGCCTCCCAGACAGAATTAGGAGGTGATTGGATTGTGCTCTTAAAATATTTCTACCTCGCCTACCCTTCTACAGTCCAAGATGACCAAAGGGTCGATTCTATGCATGCATAGGACAAAAAAAAGTTATACAGCTCCCAGCATTCCCCACCTCGCCATACGGACTAGAGAATGCTGGGAATTGTCAGCCAATTTCTGCCTATACGTGCTTAGGACTGCACCTTTGCACTGGAATCACAAAATGCTCTAAGACACAACAGACAAACCTCCCACAAACAAGGAAGAGTAAACTGTTAGAAATGATTGCAAAACATACTCAAAAATGTAAATCAATATACAAGTGCAATTATAAGAAGGTCAATAATTAAATAAGTACAAATTGGAACTTTAACCATCTCTTACGTATGACGGTTTCAACTCGTGCGCTGCTGAATCTTTCCCTGCCCTTTCACAGTTTCTAACCAGGAGGGGGGTAGAATTTCTATGCCTCTTTGTCATGGATTTTGTCTCTTTGTCATGTCAAGGATTTTGGTAAAAGTTGTCAGGGCACTGAGTTTCAGTGCTGCCCTTTCTGTCGGGAGGGGTGGGGAGGGCAGAGGCCACTTCTGAGTTTCCCATTTCTGTCCTGCTCTGCCCTTGCGCCCTTGTTTGCTGTGTGAACGTGATGGAAAGACCCAGAGTCACCTTAATCCAGACTCCCTCCATCAGGGCTTTCCAATAGTGCTTCCTGCTGAGTGTCAGAAAGCGGAATGAGGAATTTTTGGTTTGGCCAAAATCGCTTTAACAACAGCAGCTTGCAAATATACCAAGACAAGTGTCTTTCTTTGTTACTTTCTCTTTTGAAGGCCGTTTCAAAGCGGAGCGTTGGCTCAGCTGGGAAGGGGATCCCTACAATTGTGGGACTAAGTAATACTCCTGGAAAGACTCCAATGCAGGGAAGGAGGGCTGCCTTCTCCAGCGACCCAGCCTAGGGATGGGGGAATCGATTTTTTGAAGATTTATTTGCATTCCCCCGCAAAGCTTCACCTGTTTCCTCACTCTTAGCACTTGCAAGAGTTTTATGCTGAAGTGGAAGTGTGTGTGTTGCAGTGCACGTTTTCAAAGTGCATGCGCAAAGTGCATTTTTCTTCCATAATGGAAGGGCGAAAATGGGGCTGGTCCTGAGCCTCAGAATATGCACACCTGTCCTGCATCCTTATCCACGGGAACGGCCACCATGTTCTTCACAGCATTGCCAAGAAGATGCTCCGCAGCTGTTTAGTGTGTAACCAAGGACAGCGGTGACGTGCAGGCACTTCAAAGGAGACATTTTGCCATAAGGGGTTCAGTCCTGCCAATTTTTGGCCTTAAAACTTTGGTCCTGCCCATTTTGGGCAATATGATAACCCCCAGAAATCTAAGTCTTTCTTAGCAACAGCAGTGGGAATGTTGGTGGAGATGAAAAACATGGTACATTTCTTATTTCTGAGAATTACGACTGGGATGCAGTCAAAAAGATGGAATGCCCGCTTTCGGGAAAAGCCATTGATAGCATGTTAAACGACGTGCAGTAATTCACTGGCTGAACCTCACTGGGCTATTGCGAAGGGGGCATTGATGTGCCCTTTTTGCACAGGCAGACCCAAGTCCTTCCAAAGAATTTCCCATCGCAAAGAATCCAGGACTGGTCCACAAACAACACTCTTTCCACACTAGCGTACGGGCTGCTATTGCAAAGTTACCTTCAGTCCTGTGAGTGGCGTCCCAGCCAGGGATATGGGACAAAGCCATGATGTTGGAGAAATCCACAACAGCCTCGAATGAATTTGGATTTCTAATAATCTCACACACAGCTCCTGCAGTGGGCCTGCTTTTCCAAAGTCACATGGATTCTACAGACCTGCAGTCCTTTTTATTTATCTTATGTAATTGCATGCAAATTCAGTCAGAGAAAAATACATAAAATTAAAAGATGTGCATTTCACCCATAAGCTAAAGTGCGAAAATACATATTTCAGAGGATTTGTGTATTTTATGGACAGTTATGCAATCTTAGAAGTGTGGATTGCACAACTTTGAAATTGTGCAAACAGGCACAGATGCTTCTGTGCAAACTGCAGTTGCTTCAATGAACAGACTGACCAAATTTTAAAAAGCACACGGCCATCCATGAAACATAGATGGGACGGATTTCACAACCTGTGTTCATCCCGACACACAGCTCAGGTTGGCTGTTGCGTGTTTCACCCTAGTTGATCCTAATGCTGAAGTGACGAGAAGCTCTGGCTTGTCTATTCGGCAGCAAAGTCTAACAAGGCCGCGGTAGCACGTGAAGCCACTCTTTCAATACATCCCCTCACCCCTGTGGGCTCAAGTTCATATGGCAACCTCTATGTGCACTGACCTTCCAAACTGGAATGTGCAAGGAATCTGTTTTGCGTGGAAAATCCACCAGATCCCCTGGTTTTTGCTTCCTGGACTGTGCAATCGCCCAGAGTCTGCCTTCCTGGAGAGCGTCCCTGGAGAGTTTGTCAGCTTCATTCACTGCTCAGACAGAGCCCTCCTTCTGTGTCCCCTGGCAGCAGAAGTGGGGGAGAAGGTGGGCTGCTTGGCACGGCAGCTGGGGAAGCTGGTGGGGCTCCACGGGGCATCTGTGAGCATCCGGACACTTCCTCTCAGCTCGGCTTGCTTTGCAAGACTGGGCCGAATGTAATAGGAAGGTGGCAGATTCTGAAGGGAGAGATGCCAAAAGGGTTTGTCCCAACCCTAATTCCAAATGTGCTGACTTGCCCACCTGAAGCTCGTGCCCATGATGTGTGAACAATCCAGTTTGCTGGTAGGAATCAGGTTTTCTCGGCTTGGCTCTGGTCTGATCCAGGAGAGCTATTCCTACGTTCTCATGCTAGCTGTTAGAGTGGTGTAGCAATGAAACCCATCACCTTGGGGCAGGGGGGGGGCTCCCCCACTCTGGAGGCATTCAGGATGCAACTGGACAGGCATCGGAGAGGGATGGTTTGGCTTGGAGCCCTGCACTGAGCAGGTGGTTGGATCCAATAGCTTTCTTGGCCCCTTCCAACTCTACTCTTCTATGCTTCTATGATGGATAGATAAAACTCATGCAGAAGATGAAGTTGGGTAACCAAATCGTGTAAACCAGTTTCAGCACTAGTTGTTAGATGCTGAAAAATGGCGGTTTGTCCATAGGCATTCTTGGATAGCTAGGGAAGTGGGAGAGCTTTGATTCTTTTGGCCAACCACTCCGAAAAGCTCTCTTTGCAACCTTAAATGCGGATGTGAAAGGGAGCACATGCTCTCTGAAAATGCTTAAAATACCCAAACTCACATTTGCATATGCACTCGAAAATGCACAGCCTTCTCCAGGTGTACAGCCTTTTGCAATTAAAAGGAAAAACAGGTTGTGGACAAGAGCAGGAGTGAGCCGAACCAAGCCTTGCAGCCAAGTTCAAAAGCCAACGGTGAGCTCACCCATCCCTGTTCCTCTCATTTCCATGGATGTGGTGAGGCTTTCCCAGGGGACACATCCTGGGAATTTGCTTTCAAAAGTAGCTAATTGTTTGCTGATTCTAGCCAGATTCCCGGTCTGGTAAAAAGCAGTGGGAACTCTGATCCAAACTGCAGCTGAGAAGGAACGTGAGATCCATGCCTGGGGTTCTTCGAAGAATGTTTGTTTTCAGGAGCGGTATAATTTTGCCTTCTCTGTGACACCACAAACACCACCAAAAATGATATGTGTCTGAACGTAAAAAAGAGTGGAGAACCACAGAAGAAATGAGAAGATCTGTTTAACGTGTTGTAAGGCAATATCTCTGTCTAAAGAAGCACCCAAGAAAAACTCTGGGGCAGAAATGAGCAGCTGGGACATGCTGATATTATCTGTTTGCATTCTTTGAGTGCATCATGTTACAGATCCAGTTCCGGGGATCTCCATACAAAGCACTCTTCCCCAAGCTTGTTTCCACCAGTTGTGCTGAATTGCAGCCCCCAAGCCAAGCAGGCTGGAGATGCCGGGACTTGTGGACCTACCCTACCTGGGGTGCCAAGCTTGGGGAAGGCAGGTTCAAAACATTTCAGAAAGTAGGTTTGAGAGACATCCTGGAAGGCCTCTCTCTTGGCCTAGGCTGACCAAAGAAAGGGCAGATCGTGGAAGCTTCCGCACTCTGCCAAATGGGATCGAATGTGAATTTCAGAGATTGCTTTAGTCCTAATCGCAGTCATGAGTGGGTCTCTCCTCCAAGTCAAGGGAGAATGGAATGCGTTCCTTGGGCACCCTTTACAGAAGTGTGTCTTTGTTTATCTTGACAGGAGGCTGGCCCGGTCGACCTTGCTGCTTATTCCACTCTTTGGGATCCATTACACAGTGTTTGCCTTCTACCCAGAGAACGTCAGCAAGCGAGAGAGGCTGGTGTTTGAACTGGGACTGGGTTCTTTCCAGGTGGGTGCAAACAGCAAAAGAGACGGCCCTGTTAGGTCTCCATCCATCTCAGTGGAGGGCAGGGGAGGTCTCCTTAGGACCTTGGACCAGAAACAAGGGCATTTGCTCATGCAGAAGAAGGTCCCCGGTTGCACAGCCAGGGCTCTGCAAGCGTGTGCAAGCTTCCTCGAGGCTCAGGACAATTCCAACAGGGTTCACCCCACTTCTGCTGCCACCTTCCCGCTCTACCCGAGTTAGGCCAGGCCACGAATTTAGCCCAGCACGACTGGCTTTTCTCTGCACATCTCAACACGGGTCTCCCTCTCTCCTCCTCTTCTCAGGGCTTCGTCGTGGCTGTGCTCTATTGCTTCCTGAATGGCGAGGTAAGCTTCTTGAATCCATGCCTCTCCTTTAGAGATTTAGTCTGTCGCCTGCATCCACCTACATTTTCCATTCTGCCTGTCAGCAACTGTTCAGGCTGGCGCTTGCAAACAGGGTGCTTCCTGGGCAGCAGCAAGCGGTATCCATTTCCAGGAAGGGAGGAAACGGAATCCTCCATGAAGTAGGGCCCAAACTGGCTGGACTTGCCACCCCACCGCTTCCTCCAAACTGGGCATGACCGTCAAGCCCTGAGGTGAGGAACATTTCTCCCCATCCTTCCAACCATGGAGATACTTTTGGAAGGGAAAAGAAACACGCCGTTCCTCTCCATGGGACACCTCACACTCCGGGGAGCTGGACATATTGGGGTCCCTCCACGCAGTGGCGCCCTAGTTCACTTTCCTCACTGGAATGATCAGCAAGCTATTGCTTAGGGGGAAAGGCAAGTTGGACGGAGAGCCCCACCTTTTCCCCTGTCAATGGACATCCCACCAGTACAGAATCAAGGGCTCCCACCTGCTAGGCTTGTATGAGAAAGAAAGTTCGGTTCATTTCAATTGAGATTCTCCTGCTTTGCTCCTTCCAGACTAAACATTCATTCATTCATTCATTCATAATATTTATATGCCGTCCTTTTGCAGAGCCTCACAACGGCTTACATAAATAAATAAGAAGAGTAGAATAAAACATAATACAACTAAATTCCAGAACCACCCTGGCTGCAGAGTAAAACATATATAGCTATTATTAAAAGTTATTAAAATATTGTTGAAATAAAAAGGTCTTAAAAACAAATAACGACGGCGCCAGGCGGGCCTCTCTGGGGAGTGCATTCCACAGTCAGGGCGCCACCGCAGAGAAGGCCCTCCTCCAGGTACTTTGACTCCTAATGTCTCTCACGGAGGGCTCCCAGAGGAGGGCCTCTGCTGGCGATCTCAGGGGGTGGGAGGGCAAATACGGAAGAAGGCGTTCCTTTAGGTATCCAAGTCCCAAGCCGTGCATAGACTGTACTTGTGGTCTATGCATTGCTGAGCTCACTGTGTGATTCGTGGACCAAAATAAGAGTGTTTGACAGCATGTGCTCATGAGAAAAATATGCCCAATTGAAAAGTGCACACAAATATGCTTTCATTGGTGGGCAAAATGCATCTATTTCACCGATGTGCATAACTGAGGAACCACTAGGAAAAATACAGATTTTCATGAGAGCAAGAGAAAAACTAAACTAAACAGAAGAAGACTCACTATCTTGCCCAGTCTCAGGTTGGAATGAGCAGTCGGGTGCAATTCAGAGGATTCGGTGAGCTCAGGTTTTGCTGTTCCACACGTCCATACGGTCCGCATAGCCCCTTCATCGACATTTTCTCATTCTGGGTTCAGTTTTGCACTCACTGGTAGAGTGAAGGGATGTTGGGAGATGGGGATAGAACAGCGAGATTTACGGATTATTTTCACAGGAGCTGTTCATGCACGGAATCATGACCTGAGAGGGGTCTGGATATCTAAAGGAACATTCCTTCCATATGAGGCTGTCCGGACCTCTGCAGAGGTCCTCCTTCAATAGCCCTCCTTGAAAGAGGTGGTGGGGGGGCTATTATAAGAGAAAGGCCTTTTTGGATCTCATGTCCCAGTTGTAGAACTTGCTCCCCAGAGAGATTTGCCTGGCGCCGCCGCTTTATTCATTCCGGTGCCAGGCCAAACCCTTTTAATTTTCCCAGTTTTTAAATTGCTGCTGGTATTTTTAACCATTTTATCTTATATCAAGTACTGGCACAGCAGAGTTTTTAATCGTTATACCTGTTCTGCTGTTTTAATCTTAGAAAATCTTAGATTCATGGAATAAATGACAGTATAGAAGAGCCTTAAATAAATAAATAAACAAACAAACATAAATAAATAGTTTATCATTACATGAGTGCAGATGAGGGATGACTTTTCTTGCCTCAGCCTCTTGCATTGAGAATGATTCAGTGTGTGAACGATTCTAACGTAACATGATGGAGGGATGTCTATATATTTATATCTAGCTCTAGGTATGTGATAGAAAGAGAGAGAGAGAGAGAGAGAGAGAGAGAGAGAGAGAGAGAGAGAGAAGATGTGATGTTGTAGCAGTCAAAATGTTGGACTGAGAATTTGGAGGTCTGGGTGCTAGTCCTCATTCAGCCATGAAGGTCACTGGGGGTCTTTGGGCCAGGCACTGGCTCAGCCTAACCTACCTCACAGGGTTGTTGTTGTTTTTAAAGATAGAATGTGGGTGGAGAAGGGGAGGAGAACCGAGTAAGCCACCTGGGGTTCCTTGGCAGAGGGAAAAACATGGTATATAAATGAAATTTAATAATATGGTGTAAATACTTCAACATAGCTGGATTGAAATTCCATATACATTTAAAATATGTGGGGTTGTAGATTTTAATTGATAGATTAATCAACTGAAGCTTCCGTTGTTTCTTCTGTAGGCTCCAGTTTGAACAGTTACAAAAGTTTCTTTACGGAGCTTATATGTCGGGGGTACAAAAGTTTTTTTTTAAACTATTCTAGTCGTGGTGTGTTATTTTCTATGGGAATCTGAATGATGTGCTTTGCTTTCTACCCTCTGAGATGTCACGCGCATGCATTAATGAGTCATGGACTTTCATGAGACTTGCACTGGGCTGCAGGAAGATGGCAGCCAGCACACCTGGAAACATCTTTATGGAGCCATTAACAGCTGCCAAAGAGGCAAAGGGTTGGGAAGGAGAGTAAATTTGAATGAATGGGGGTCGCCCATATAGCAAAGGGGGTGGGTTGTGTGCTCACTTCTAGGAAAGCATGACCGGGCCCTGTTTAGAGGGCCAGATGTGCACGCAGGTGCATTTTGCCAGAGACATCTGGAAATCACCCGATGTGCTTGCAGTGATTCCAGCAACGCCCCAGTTTGATCTGGCAAAAAACCCTAATTTGCCCAAATTTCTCCTGTAGGCTCTGTCAGCCCCCCTTCAGACTGAGGACAAAGTCACACAACATTGAGGACATCGGTACATATTTCCCATTTGGCCCTTGATTTGCACAATTCCTCCGTCTTCACACCACCTTCACAGGCACCACTTCTGCGTGGTCCTGGGTGCTCCTCCAGAGCTGCATTGAGCAGAGCAGGAGAAACTGTGCCCAGAGGGCTCATCACTGAAATCCCTGTGCATGTGCAGAGTTCCATGAGGCTCTTTGGGTTCCTGATTTTATCTAACATAACTTAGCATGGTTTGCATCAGTCTTTGCACATTGAATTGAATTGAATTGACTCCATAGAATAGAATAGAATAGAATAGAATAGAATAGAATAGAATGAGCTGATGGGAGCTGTAGTCCAAACCATGGGAAGGGTACTCGATTGGGGAAGTTTGGTTTATAGATACGCACACACACAAATATATTGAGATACTGTATCAGCATATTCCTAAGCGGCCAAGTACATTAAAAAATGACCTTTTAAAGTTTCTCCCTAAAGGTGCAATCAGAAATAAAGAGAAAATGGAGGAGCTGGAAAGTCAACCGGTACTTTGCTGTGGATTTGAAGCATCGTCACCCCTCCCTAGCGAGCAGCGGAGTGAACGGGGGGACCCAATTGTCTATTCTGAGCAAGAGCAGCTCACAGATTCGGATGTCAAGCATAAATGCGGAGAACCTGGCCACATGAGCATCTGAAACCCACCCCCTTCCCCAAGCAGTGGGAGGGAGAAAAAGCGAAAAACCTCCTTTGCAAACGAAAAGTCATAATTTTGGTGGCGTGGGTCTTTGTGCCTGTCTGTGTTTTATTTTATTCCATCATTCTTACCATCATTTAAAAAAGAAAACACCTCCCTCTTGTTCAAAAGAGAAACAAGAACCTTCTGGAAGCGTGGAACCCGTGATGCCGGACAGCTAGAAGAGAAGGTGTGAAAGGGGATTGTAAATACTCCACTGAGATCAACCGGACAAAAAGTTCAACCCACCCACCACCCCCGTGAGCTGCAGATAACTCCATTGTTGGCTTTGTGTTTCTGGTGATCTGTGTGCCGTTGTGAATTCTGGTTGCCAAGCTGATATCTGTGGAGAAACCCCTCATGGATTTGTGCTCCTTTCTTGATGTCCTTTCAAATGCATTTGCTTGGATTTTTCTCTGTCCCCTTTTTCATGACTCAGAATGTAACATAAATGCTTGGGGGGGGGGGAGGTAATAACAGCCTTGACGGTGCAAACATTGCAACGGGCTCTAGCAGAAGCATTCGAAATGAGTGCACCTGTTGGAGCTCTTTAGAACATCATTTGGTGGACAGGAAATCCAGACTCAAACGGTGGAGTTGGTATTTTTCTTCCTCCAAGAATGTATCATAAAATTTTATGTTAAGCTGTGAATTTTCTAAAAGGGTCACCCCAGCTATAATAGATCTATATTTTTGAGATGGATCTTTCTCTATCTCTCTCTTTTTTTAAGAAAAGCAAAAAGAACATGGCAGAAATATATATACATAGCCCTACCTAAGTGAAGATGAATTGATGAATTCCAGGAATGTGATGCCTTCTATACATGTGACTCTTTTGTTGATACATTTCCGCAGAAAGCAGGATGTAACTGAAGCTAGAGACCCAAATGACATACTTTGGGTACCACAGGTGTGATGCCTTCATTGTGCCAAGGTTCACACCAAAAGGGCTAGGATGCTAATTCTGTGGATTATGTAGCTTAAACAGGCGGCTCCATCCTGGTGGATCTCAGAAGATCCAACTGCCCTCAGCCATCCCTGGATGATCTTTGATACGACAGAGAAGTAATAAAGACTTTGAAACTGGGGGAGATTCGTTCCGAATCTCAGCATTTTTTTCAGCTGAGGGTTTAGTCTGATTTAGCCACACACAAAAAGTCATTAATGCCTTTGATTTAGGGTTGAAGGAAGGTGGGAAATTCTTCAGTCCTGCGTTCTGCTCAGAGCCACAGCCAGATACACAGCTTTTTCAGCTGAACTAAAACAATGATGTCAATTTTTTAGGAGGCTTCGTGCAATGCATGACGTTTCCAAAGGACTCTTCTTATTCCACTGTGGACTGTACGAGCCAATCTAGATGTTTCAAAATCTGCTCTAATCAGTCTGTGTGAGCAAGCGCGCGTGTGTGTGCACTTAAAGAGGAAAATATATATATATAATATTTTGTTAAATACTAAGGAATGAATGCAAGGTAATTGTGGCCAAGAGAGGGTTCTTTCTTCTTAACTTAAACAAATGTTGTTGTTTTTCATTGGAAGATCTGGATGCTGGGTTGCGGGGTGGGAAGAGCTCAAACTTAAGACAAGGACTGGTTCGTATGTGTGCTTAGCTGCATGATCCTCTTTGCATAGCAAAGAACAGGCAAGTACACAGTTCGCTCCATAGCTAACGTTAACACCTGCTCCTGCTGTGCTGATCACAGCCTGGAAAGTATATGGGTTTATTCCCCCTACTAAGAAAAAAGGGGGCAGATTTCTACTTCTGGATCTCCACAGTAAAAGCTCTCATAGGGTGGACATGCAAACTGCCCTCATTTCTCTATGCAAAGGGGATCGCATTGTGTGAAGTGCACACACCGGACTCAGGCCTGTTCTTCTTGACGTGCTCATGAGCCTTCGTATCCGTTCTGCCAGGCGTGCTGAGGCTCCAGCAGAAGGGGCCGGCACGGGGCTGAGAAGCAGGGGCCCATGCAGCCCAGCAGAAAGACCATGTCTGTGGACCACCGGGCCTGCCCTGGCCTGCCCTCCCCACACTTCTCCGTTCCTTCGCTGGCCCCACTTCTGGAGGGACTTGGCACGCCGGGGCACTGGCCGACGCTCGTCGTGCATCGCGTCGAGTCACCGGCCCTGCAGGCCAGCTGGAGAGCTGTGCCCTCGTCCATTCTGCACAGGGCGGCTGTGCGTACACCGGGGTTCGGGAACCTTCAGGCCAGAAGTTAAATGCAGCCCTGCTGGAGTCCCGGGAGCATCGGCTCCTGTGAGGAATCCACGCTGGGGCTGCAAGTCCATTGCATTCCCCGGGCTCGGTTTCCCAGGGCGTTGGCCCACGTTCTCGAGCTTTGCAGCTTCCTAGCAAGCCCAGCCAGCCTTTGCACGGTGCTTGCCAGCTTTGTGAGGACACTGTGGCAGAGGCTGCCTTCTTCCCCACACATGACTCGCAACATTTGCGTTGCATGAGATGCAGAAGAGGGTTGCTGGTTGCCCGTTTTTGTTCCATGCGTGGGTGCAGAGTTCCTCCTGGCTCAGCTCGCTGTCTAAGCCAGGGCAGAGCACAAGGGGAAGCCTGCAAATGGACGGAGACTGATTCCAGCGGGCTTTGCCCCAGTGCCATCCTGGGCATCGCTAGGAGACACCCTCCCTTCTCCCAGCCCCTTCCCTTGTCATCCAGCCACGGACTCCTTCACAGGTTCCTGGCTTTTCTACTCTTTTCTCCTCATTCTGCAAATTCCTCTCCTAAGACTTATTGGCAGTGAGTGCTTTAACATGCAAAATTCTGGGATGTGTTTCTGGCCCCACACTTTTTATTTTTCAGCTCTCCCCGCTCCACCATTTGCTTCTCTGCCGAGGGAGGGGGGATTTGACAGCCCTCTGCAAGTCCCTTGAAGGCTGTCACAAAAAGGAAGGACAAGATCTCTCCTCGTCCCTTCCAGAGTGCAGGACGCAGAATAATGCACTTAAGTTAAAAGAAACCAGATTTAGACTAGACATCAGGCAGAAATTCCTCACTGTCAGAACAAGGAGGAATGGATTGCTTGGGGAAGTTGTGGGCTCTCCCTCGCTGGACACATTCAAAAAGCTTTCGGGCAGTCCTCTGAATGGGGCGGTGGCACTTCGTGTCCTGCGGGACTGGACCCAATGGCCTTTTGGCCCCTTCCAGCACACTGGACCCAATGGCCTTTTGGCCCCTTCCAGCACACTGGACCTAATGGCCTTTTGGCTTCTTCCAATGCACGGTTTTGCGATTCTCCAAATCAAGCCCTCGGGCTGAAAGAGGTCTCCTGCCCCGGTGTACGCATTCCCTCATCGATGCAAGCGCAACTTTTCCTGACTGGAAACGCCAGCAGCCTCTTCTAGCAAAGAGCTGCGTACGCGCACCAGAAGTCTCGCGGGCGGCTTCCACATGGGAGCCCTTCGCAGGCACCCCGTCACGCCAAGCAAAGGTTGCGAGTCGGCAGCTTGCAGACTCTGAAGCCATCCATTAGTGTTAGCTTGCTGTCTGCCCCGTGGTTCTTGGCAGCTGTTGTGTGAACCGGAGCAATCCAGATCCCGGGGGCTGAGTCAGTGCCTGCCCCAAACGGCGCTTCCCCCTTTCAACTCCTGGTCTGGGGCCACTATGTACAAAAGCGCTTTGCTTTTTCTGGATTTGTAAGTTTAAGTTGTAATGTTTAAGTTCGAGTTGTAATGTTGTTTGACCTATAGAGTTGTGGTTGTTTGTTTTTCTAGTCTTCTTGTTCTTGTTTTTAAAAAGAAAAAAAATGAAGAAAGTTGTTACTGCTTAGTATGTTGATTCAGTAAACAGGCAGAAAGATACTCATTAAATGTGGCCGGCAGGCAGTGGATGCATGTTGAAGATCTCAGATCTCGGCCACAGTAAGTTCCTTTTCACATTGATGTTCCTCCAGTTATTTCCAAGTGACTCCATGCCGAGCTGCTTTAGCAGTGAAGGAGCCACATGGGAAAGGATTCCATCAGATGATCCACGCAGATGCCACCAACCAATCCAGCCACTGGCGCTAGAGCTCACGTCTAGCACACTGCCCCCTCCTCCTCAGAAAGGGACACATGGAAGGGCCTGTGACGCTGCTGCGGAAGGATGAATCAGGTCCAAATAATACCAGTGCTCCATCCCAGCCTCCTTGCATGCTTTCAGGGTGTGAGTTGCACGGCCAGGAGCTAAAGCAAGACAAAGGCAAGCGTGTAAAAGGTGCTCTGGCTTTGGCTTTGACCAACTGAATGATAGATGGGAAGATGGGATGAAGATCTGGATGTAGACATATTTAGAGAAAACTCACCGAAACTCATGAGCCTTCAGTTAGTCTTGATTCAATGGGTCTACTCTAAACAGCTTAAGTCTTGATCTAGTGCCATGTTTATAGAAAGTTCAAGTGGTTTCTTGAGTGGAAGGTCTGGGAAATCAGCTGCTGGCCATGGGTGGAAACCAGTGAGAGTTCACACTAGTCATGAGTAACGTTAGAGGCCATTGATTTCATGGATCTGCTCTAAGGAGGTCTAAGTCTGATTCCAGTCTAGTGTAACCAAGGCTAGGCCTACCAGCGTTCATCTGGATCAGGCCATGCGCTATGAAGTCACCTAGTCGGCACTATAGTCCGCTTCAGATCTCTGCAAAAGGTATATTTTTTGACTAAATCAGATCACTAGTCACGCCTTTCGAGATGAATCTCACATCTTTCCCTATTTGAGTTTGTTGGGGCAAGAACTGTAAGCAATACATCTTGTTGCAGGTGTTCTAGTGTACTGTGACGCATGCAGGGGCGCCCCTCTTAGCTTCAGGATGAGGGGTCATTCTGTGAGCGCATACGTTTGTGCTTCCCATCCATCCAGGTGAGCTGTCCCTTGGAAGAAGAGAACTGGTTTCCATGCATTGCTAGACCAGGGAGCAAATCTAGGTGTTTTTCTGCCCATGGGCAAGATACCGTGGGTGATGTCGAACATGAGTTTGCCAACTTTTCCGGGAGTGCCAAAGCACCGAAATGACCCACCTTGC